CCCACCCGGTTCAAGAGAGGGGTTAAAGAGACCATCTACATCGCAGCCACCAGTCCAAACTTAACACAGGGCTGAGGGCGCTACCACCTTCTGACAGCCAATGCCAGTCTGATTCAGCCACATGACTTGGGGATAATCCTCAGGTCACATGACTGAATCACTAGTTTAGTCTGAAGCCCACCAAATGTACTTAGTAAGGGCTGAAGAAGGCAACCAAGAGGTCATCGAAAGCTACCTGTGAGTAGAATTTGCTGCAGCACATATCTTATAATGTGTCATAAGGATTTAGAAAATACATTTACGAAATAAGCAGTGTGAATATTAAATATATTAATACATGTATACATATATATATTAATATGAAAAACAAATGACAAGAGTTTCTTGGTACCTCCCTAGCGCTTTCACCTCTTTGGAAGTTCATCAGGGGAGCTCCTAACGTTTTTCTGATATATTAATATGCATATGTTAAAATCTTAAAGCTTTGTAGTTTCCTATCAAAATCTCTTGTATTCAACGTTAGACAGTCATAAGTATTGCAGCAAATTGTTTGGTATTGGTAATAGGTTATTCTTTAGTCCCTTTCAGTGCTAAATACAGATTTTATTACAGAAGATGACAAATTTCTAAAACTACTTTCTGATGAAAATGTCGGAAGGGGTATATACTTATACATAAGGAAAGGTAACTTTGTTCGTTACTACATTGAAATCTTTCGGTTTGTTAGAAATTTATGTCTTATCAACAGCTATGGTCATTTGAAGGACGAGCTACGTTGTGCTGGTGCTGCAAAACCAGACATCCTTGATAATCCAGGAATTACGCTCACCGCCGCTCTCTGCACCCCTGGAATACCAGTATGTCGTAGCAAAATTGAAGGCACGAAGATAGCTGTTTGATTGGTCTCTGGTAAAGAAACCTGACCAACTGCTAGGCCGATACCTGTCTTTGCAGATTACAAATTACAAAACCCGACTTTAAAGCCAGTCAATTTTTACCGTTACGCAACTGCGAAATTCTTTTGATGTATATCAAAGGATCAAAGTAGTCTTCTTGTCTCATCAAAAAGGTGGCACACACACAGAGCCTTCAATTTTGCTATGACATATTCCAGGGGTGCAGAAAGCATAGGTGAGCATAACCCCTGGAGTATCGAGGATAAAACCCCAGAGTACCCACAGAAAAGCCACAGACCTGCGGACAGTACTTGGCGACAGCCCCACGTACGCCTCACACCTTCGACCCGGAGGAGGAGGACTAGTGATTGTAGACAGTCAGATGCCTTAACCACTCAATTCACCACTTTCCCCGAATTGAAGGGTAACACTTTCTTTAACTACTTTGTCCAAATTTGCAAAATAAATAAATGATAATGATACAAGTACAAGGGTCATGGGCATGAATACAATACCTTGCTCTGCCAAATTCCTTTCTTGACATATGTGTAACAGTTTCTGGGCTTTCTTTTCCGAATCTATAGAAATATTCTCCATAAAATGTTCCAGGTATTTCCTATAAAGAAGTATGCAAAGAAAAATGCCATCAATATTTTGCTTAATTTCTCTTAGCATGCTTCGATTATTGAAGTAAGGATCATATGCTTTTCATAATTTACTTCATACACTTTTTTTAATCAAGTGTTAAGAAATATTAATCCGAGATAATATTTTACCAAAAGAAATATTCATTTTAAGAAACATTTTAAGTCTTTATAAAACCAGACACATGTGGAGCCTGAGAAGAAGGTATTTCCCATGATCATACAAGGTTTTAACTTTGAATTTTTATTTTCTCCGATATTTAAATGAGGATCATTGTACCAAAATTATTTGAAAAGAAATTCTTCAAAAAAATTACAGTACTGCAAAAGGTGATTGCATACAATATACATGTACCCAGTACTTAACATTCAATTTGCCAGTATTTTAAGCGTTAAATATGACTGATAATTCTGCCAATTATCTTAAGCATGCTTACCGTCCAAACTCTGGACAGTGGTCAAGATAGCTGACCCCTACAATCCACAGGCTGCAAAAATAAGGAATTTGTAAGGTAAGCAATCACAAAAGCAGAACAAAAGTCATTCCACAGATCTATCTATACAAAATTTGTCAAGAAAATTATGAGAAAGAATTGCAAGCAAAACATAGTCCGCCACCTATGAACAAACCATGACATCAACAATGAACAAAGGGCCATAATCCTCTTTTATAATTGGGCACAAGTCAAACTTTTAGGTCACACCCTCATCTATCCCAAAGGGTACTCACATAAAAAATCTAGTAATTGTAAATATAAACAGTATATGAGATATGCCCAATAAAAATGACCCACTGACAAATTGGTGGTGCCCAAATTTTATGGTTTTGCATCAAAACACCATTTTGTTGGTACATTAATTTGGGGATTATGAGTACCCACTCAAACGGAGTATTGATTTATTTCAAACTTGTGATTACATTGCCGACCTATGTATTGTTAGATGAAGATTACCCATGAAATGAACAAAAATAAAAACTGCTGATTTCTGTGTGCATAATATTAGGGGATAAGATAACTCAGAATTTAAAGCTCAAGCGTAGTTTGAACGTATTTCCAGATGGATATTATATTTCATAACTTCACACTTTCTGTAACTTAATAGTTACAAATGGGATCTCAAAATACTAATATAGATGTGTACAACTTCAAAACTGCCCCTGATTTCACAGGTAACAGTGGATTATGAAACATTGTATCAAGGAAATGTTTGTAAACGTTAAACATAAAAGTCATTTATGTTTCTTGTAATCTTGTTGAGTACAAATATTCTAGAAATAAATCCTTCAACATTAACTTTAAATTTGTGAATTCATTTGCCAAATTTGAGAATAAATAAATTTCCATTCTATTTCATTTTTATGGACTAGGTCCCACATGCCAATTGTTCGCGACAAACCAAACCTTTTTTAATATCAAAACAACACACGACAGCTTCTGCTGTTGTTGCTTACCTTTTGTGGGACATGAGGCTTGTGGCATACTCCAACAACAGAAACTCTCTCAGATTGGAGCCAAATCTGTAACAAGTGAACAAATGACGACAATCCTTTGTGGCAAGCTCCCTGGTGGGAAAGTCATAGTCAAATGATAAATATTTCGCTAGTAAATTGTTTTTTCTTTCAATAGGTGTTGGTAAAAGGGAGAAAGGTGGAACAGACTGACATCTGACAGAGTAACAGAAGATTATAACAAAATTATGTCTGAGGCTCATTATAAACATGATTTTACTGATCAATGTCACTACAGTGGTAATTCCTAGTCTTTCAAATGTCACAATATTTTCTCCAGTTGAAAAGGACTTAGGTTAAGGTAAATTTGAAATAGGAAGACAAAATCCCTGAATAATTTATGCTTTATACACCATGCCTGCTTTTAGTGCTGGGTGAAAATAAAAGGATAATGTTAAACTATTGTAAAACTTGAAATAGTGTTACTATCATGAATTTTGTTTTATCCAATATTTGAAAAAGCATCACTCCTTCAATGAAGTCCATATAAAGAAGAGAGTATTTTGATTGAGGTTTAATTTGAAACAATCACTTAAAAGTCCCACTCCCAGGTCTTTTAAGTGATTGTTTTAAATAAAACCAAAATCAAAATACTGTTTTGAGTTACAGTAACCTCCCTTTAACTTCCATTTAGATATACCTGTAGCACAGTTAACGTTGGGCCAGGACACTTCCGTCGACCAGGTAACTCAATTGGTTTATGCGATAGTATAACGAGTCCAGTGTTCATCCCAAGGTCTAGCCCCACTAAATTTTGTCCATTCAGAACACTGAATAGTGAAGTGAACATTTTCCATTTTGAGATACTTACTGAAGTTTGTGGGAGTCTAACTGGCCACAATGTTGTAGTAAGTCTGTGAGGTGGGCCACAAACCACCAGTTACTGAAAACCGCACTGTCAAATACAAATCACAGACAAGGTTTTAAACAACTGTGATCCTTTATTAGTGTCATATTTGATGTAAAAAACATTCCATTCCTTTAGGATGTCATCATTTCACCAGAATCTACCGACTTTAATAAAGTTCCTATAAGGCAATTTTTTTCAGTTTTTTGGAAGATCTGCCAATTATTCAATTTTTTTTCAAAATTGTTAATTGCCCATGATGAAGCCAATTATAAAAGTTAAACACACAGGAGTATGATATTTATTTTAACCAAAATTAAAAGACATTTCATAAATCTATTATTTTAATTTTTTATAAATCTTTTATAAACAAAAAAAATAGAAAATAAAAGATCTTTCGACTCAAATGAACTCTTTTAAGTTCTTTTAAACATTAACTCTTAGAACATCTTTGATGGCCAGTCACATTAAAAAGGGTATTTGATCCATTTGACCCTTGACTGACCTGCTGTCCTTGATGACCTGGTGGATGTCATACTCGAGTGCCGACAGGAGAATGTTATCTAGTTCCCCGATCCTCGTGTTACTGCGGTACTCATCCAGACAAACCTATACAATAACAACAGTGTAATCAAACTCTGGCGCTAGGTTTTAGGTAAAGCAAATAACTGTGAAACATCACTCGTAAATTGTAATATTACGTCCGATGTAAAAGTTTCTCCATTAGGACTTTGAAAAGTCAAATCTTGCATTTGGTACAAACAAAAGCTGTTTTTCGTGAAATTATGCGTTATGGGGTAAACAATATATCCAAATAATTCTCTCCGAGTTAAATCAAACGATGACCAACTCTCTGAAGCTTGTAAGTTATAAAATATAAATGCAATCCTTAGATAATGGGGTTTCGTAACAACAGTTAAGACCCTTACCTGTATGTGGTACTGTAGGTCGAAGCCTTTGATCGTAGGGTTTTGGTATAAAAGTTTGGACACCAGCATATGGTACCAAGTTTCACACAGGTCACGGAACTCAGAAAACACTTCATCATTTCCAGTCAGTATCTAAAACATACATAACACACATTTTACCTCTTACAACCTTTTTTTATCTATATACATTGTAGGCTGTACCAGAATAAATAGGTAACACCATAGGAGGTACATATAGGAAGCACTCTTAAAGAGGCCCTCACCACCCATCAAATGTTAAATCTGATTTAATATAAGGAAGAGTAGGCAGATCTGGACTTAAATTCCAAACACCATTGTAAATTAAATACAGATGCCTTCATCTCCCTGTTACAAATGATTATAGAATAGCCTTTATAAGGCACGGTAGTCTAGTGGTAGGATGCCGGGCTCGTGACTGAAGGGTTGCGGGTTCAAGTCACATCACGGCACTGTGTTGTATCTTTAAACTAGATACTTTACTTCGCTTGTTCCAGTCTACTCAGTTGTAAATGAGTATGTGGTTGGGGAATTGTTGAATGGTAGCTGTGAGCGCCAAGATGGACGCACCACTGTATGCTCCCCAGGTTGAGTTGAGAAAGATATTGGCTGGTTGCAAAGGCCCTATAACCACGGATAATTATTTGTGAACCGCTTTGAGACAACTTACGAAATAAGTTGTGATAAGCATGATATTTATTGGTAAATATGCTAAACCTAATTTCTGTAAAATTAAAAGCTGAATTATGTATTATGGTACAATGTATACCAATACATTATTCTAGTAATGACTTACAGAAATATTTACATTGGTACATATAGCCAATTAATTTACTTTACAGCCAACAAAATCAATTAATGCATTTGGCCCTCAAACATTAGGGTAGGTACATTGAAGCTATTGGACAATAATATTTTATCTTGCAAAATAAATATATTTGTAAAGGTTATTTAAATACTTAACTGTCAGCCATGACCTTCACTTTTCATCCTCTGATAACAACAAATCACGAGCGCCAAATTTAAATAAGATTGGATAAATAACCTTTGCACTTCTTGTCTATAATGTGTGCCTACCAGAAATAATGACCTTTACTTTTGACCTTACAAATAAATGTATGTTTAAGTACAGAGTACACACAGGTGAAACTATTTGACAGCTATAGAGTCAATGCTTGGGCAGGCAGTATGCATCTTCTAGTAGCTCTAAACATAACATTTAAGCAGAACACGAAGAACATGGTTAAGGAAGGATATGTAAAATGGTCTTCTATGTGGCAATGCTTTAAAGTGGAAACAAAGGTGGGAGGTTTAATGAGACTTCACTGACACCGAGTAATGCACAGCCTCAATAACTCACTAAACTTTACAATGATTTCTACATTACCTTTCCAATTGTTTCCAAATTTCCGTATGATGAAAACTCTCCCTCTTCCAATCTTCGCTCACATTCGTCCCGCCAATGTCGCCATTTCATGTCGAACTCTGCGATGGAGTGGCCTCGAAACAGCTGCTGTAAACCAGAATGACAACGATCACATAGTTGCCAGGAAACCAGAATCGTTTGACTGCTCAGAGATTGCTTTTTCGTCAATATTATTAAGGTTTTCTTACATTTAGTATAAAGGCCTCAACTGTTTAAGCTTAATCATATACATGTATTTACTGTCAACTTACCGTGTGCTGTGGCATTTTCTTGAGGAGTTCGTCCATACTGCTGAAAGCCTTGCTGTGTTTCGAGGAGTGGAGAGACAGTAGCCGGCGCACATGTTCCGCCTGGCCTTGGAGGACTAAGCGATAGATCTGAGACGACACGGAAATACAATGTAAACTAAAACCCCTCCGGGGTTACACGGAAAAATGGTAAATCAAATGGCACAACTTCTGTGGGACGACACAGAATTATATAGATATAAGCCAAAACCTCTTTGGTACAGCATAAGCATACAATATTGACAAATATTTCTCTGTGGTGAACATTTGTCTCCTAGGTGACACAGACCACAGCATAAAGAATCTTTCTAGAACATCTGGAGAACAACATACATTTCTGGGGTAATTCAGATTGTTTCAGAGTTGACACTTGAAACAACGTAAAAATAAGTCAGAAGGGTGTCAGAAATAGTACAAGTCAATAGAAGGAACGAAAAAGATGGAGCAACAACATCTAGATTCGGTATTTTATTTACAGCTTTTATGTTTTCGACTAGCACGGCAGCTGTCATCTGAACAATGGTATGCAACCTTACAGAGCCGAGGTAAAAATTGCAGCTCGGGTCATAACGCTGTTACAACTATCTACCACACGCTATAACAACAACACTACAGGCATACTTATAGTCATATGATATATAATGGACAAACTTTTGGTGTTCAATACATGACTATTGAACTGTATACTATTAGAGCGTTCACTGGTTTGTTGTTAGTGTTGACCTTATACCTATAGCTATGGTACACATTGTCTTGCTCTATCGATGAAGTGAAGTTCTCTTGTTGGTTCTCCTGTCCTCCGTCTCGGGACTGAATTTTACAATATAAGTCAATATGTTTTCTCGGATAACATGGAAATGAACTATGCATCTGTTACAAGACAGATATACATCATAATTCAGTAAATGTGAATACAACACATGTCTGTCGTGACTCGATGTCTACAACTCAAACTCTTGATTTTGATGTCCAAATCTCTTACCGTGTCCCAGTAGAGTGGGTGGTGCTCTGGCTGTTCTTCTCGGATAATTTCCAGAAACATTTGTTCTCCCGTCTGGAAGTGGAACCGAAGCCATTCCAATAATGGAGCGATCACCAATCCACCTGAAGTACAAATAAATGTGAAACAGTTTCCGTCACACCTTATTCAGATCATCTAGGTGGAGTCAAAACTGTCGTCACTATTTTCTTGAGTTGACAGCTTCCATAGCTTAATCAAAGGAAAAAAGCTTTCAGAAGTAAAGTCGCAGCATTTCCATTCCAAATTTTGCGACATGCTGTCTTTCAAAAGAATACTCAATGAGGGACAAGAACCTTCTGGGTTTTTGCCACAAATTTGAAACCCAGAGGGTAGACTTTCTAACATATAACCAAAATCGCTTTAGCCACCAAACTTCAGACAGAATTTGGTGATATTACATTGTAAATGGCCAATACTGTCTATGATAGGAGCTTTTGTATCAACATTATTCAATACTATCATACTTTTGTTAGATTTTGTTTACTTTCATGATATTCATTTAAGCATTGAACTGCTTTCAGTTGGCATTCATAGGCAATATGAATGCCAACTAGACAAGGCAAATTCAATGAGGCACGCTAAGTTCAATACTTATGTTTACTATTTTTGGAATCTGTTCATCTCATAAAAATTCAATTTCACTTATTATTATTCAGCATTTATTTCAAATAATGTATGTATTGTGAATAGAACAGCCATCAACCGGGGAGGGTCAGTGGTATCCAATTATGATGTCATAATAATGATGACGTCAACAATCGGCCCATGGCATTCATAGCCTTTGATAATGCCAACTGACTATGGTAGGGTTATATAGTGGCAATGCCATTTAATGGTAAACATATAACATTCATTATCAGGAGATAAAAGTATGAATTTACTATGAATGAGAATTTCAAGTAAGTGTTTCACTGTTTTGAATAACAATGATAGCCCTAGTAATGATTTAGCTCTACTGTCAACACTGACCAGCAGGACTGTCAATGAACAGGATCTCACACAGCCCCCAGATCAGTTCAGCCATCTCTAGTAGCTGTAGGTGATCAAGGAAGTCCTGCTTCTGCTCCTCGTCTATGGTAGAATCTGTAACAGTATTACAATACATGTTAAGCCATATATAGTGTCAACAATATAGCTACTTGTTACAGCCAAGTTTTAATAAATTTTGTTTTGTGTTTTACGTCCTATTGTACAGCTATGGATATTAAAGGACGTGCCAGGTTTTGGTGGTGGAGGTAAGCCGAAATTTACGAGAAAAAACACCAACCAGTACCTGCCGACTGCCCCACGTACCTACGACCCAGTGTTGGAGGGCTAGTGGTACCAGAATGCCCCTCCCCCATTTTTTATTAAAACATTCCAACTTATTGCAGATACTAGTTTAAGAAAGGAACATAATATTCTATAGGAACTTGCAGGCCCTAGTTTGACAATAAGTGTAGTCAGACAGTCTGAGACTAGTGAAATCCCTATAACTGTAGCCAGATATATATAGTCTGAGTCTCAAAAGTTGTACGTATCTGTGGATAATGTTTTTGTGGGTTAATTCCTTCATGATATGAGGACTATACAGTACAAAAATAACAAATAAACCATCTAAATGAACTCACAAGGCTGGTCCTAACAAATGTAAATGATTCCCTACCATTGATTTTAAGCCAGCTTCAATTAGTGCAGCTAAAAAGAGAACGGTTATGTTTATTTAGTGGCCTTTCGGTTATAGTAGAATCAGCTGCTACTTGAATGATAATAATAAAAAAAAAAAATCAATAACGTTGAAATCTATGATCAACCATTCATAATCATACCTGCTAATATCTTCAGTTCAAGGCTGTAGGCTTTCAGTGAAGCTCGATACTGCTTGCTGGATCTTATGATGCTAAAAAAATAAAACAAAAAACATTGAAAGAAACCACCACAATTCAAGAACTGTACATGCTCAATATACAATATACCCAGGAAGACTGGTTTTTGCAACAAAATACTGTTTAAAGTGGTAAGAACTGAACCATGTAAAACCTCCTTTGACATGATTCGGTGCCTGCTCTAATGCGCCTCCTGGGATTTAAACGTACCTCAACTGATAGAACAATTTCCCCCCCTTCAATGTCTATTATTCCTTAAAGATGTGCAAGTGGATTTGTTGGACATTTTGCACTACCAAAATGGCCCTGAATCAGTTCCGACAACAAGTAATTAAATACAAACAAATAAACAGAACTATATCTGCCGATACAATGACTGGTGCAGTTTACTGGTGTAGCCCAAGACTAATTAAGTTTCATGGGGGCAATCCTGAGTAAAACATGATTTATCCAGGGTAAATTTAAATATCAAAGTCTTTATAAATGTGCCTCAATTGTCATTTATCTTCTCCAAGTGCCATTATAAGTTCAAATACGGTATATAATAGCAATAGAATATTTTTATAACTGGTAACATTGATTGATAGGTTTTATGTCCGCTTCCCTACTGAGTAGTTCGGTTATCCAGTAGACGAAGAAAAGACAGGAAAATGAGTAGAAGGGATAAAGTATAGAGTGAAGGGATTCTTTTCTATGAATTTTGTTTGGCATATATATTTCGAAGTCCTTCTAAATGTCTAATAAAGAGAACCTAGTTCTATCGGCCGAAAACAAATCTAACCCTATCCTCTGTGTGCGAGATTGGACAGTTCTCACATGGGACACCTTTTATAGTCCCATCCGATGGAATGAACTGGTAATAACAAAATAGTGTTATTTATAAGGAGAAGAGGAAGTTAAACAAAGGGGAATAACTCACTGTGGGTGAAGAGCAGCACCTGATGTCTTCTTAGCTTGCTCTTGTAGACAGGTGAAAACATCTGTAAAAATAAATCAAACAAAAATTAACAGATTTATAAGAAATGATCGATTGGACTGACATGGATAATACTGTATCCCTATATGCCCCCAGCCATCCCCTCTTCCAATAAAATGGTGGAGGAATAATTTTGATGTCTGACGGAAAAAAGATGGCTTGCTGTCACATAAAGTCAATGACACTTTGTACAAGTTAAGCTAAAAATCATAAGAATTAGAATTAGAAAATTAGAAAGAAAATAGAATAACTTTACATTTACCACAATAATTTAATCAAAACTAACATAAAATTGTAAGGCTGTTAAACCATAATATATATTTGTTGTACGACCATGAAGAAATATTCCCTATATAAAAAGCCATACACATGTTAGTATATATGTTAAATAAATTTTAATGATTACTTACTATGAGATTCATTGACAAGCTTTCTAAGGACAGGTCTATGGAGGTCCATGTCCCATTTAACTTCTCGTATTGTTTCCTCCTTCATCAGCAGAGGTCGTCTTTCTGTATCAACAATAAAAAGATTCAATTCACACATATATAAATTACTCATTAAAAACAAAAACAGTAATTAAAAAAAAAAAAAAAAGACAAGTCCTGAATATTATTTTCAAAATGTTGATGATTCCAATTTCTCTGGAGATATAGTGGGTTCTGAATATACAGAATATACAAAGCTAAATGGCTTATTTCAAGTGCTTACCGTTCAACAAAATTGCCTTTTTCCCTGGGAACACGAAGAACTGGTTGCCACAGCCCCAGACAGCTTGCAGGCCTTGAGAACATGACGGATCATTAATGGCCTGAAAATCAAAGAAATATATTATGATAAATTGGTACATACAAGAAATTAAACTATTCCCTGATACCGATCGATATATAGCTAAACAATGGCCCCACCTAGCATATGGCATGCCAGACCATAACCCACTATGGTCTATTTTTGGTAACTATGAACTTGACCTTGATATTAAAACCTTTTAAACACCTATTGCATATCTTGAAGTTGATATCACAGTGTATCATCATTTTCTGAGCTACAATGGTTATAAAGACTGTAAAAGTTTATGTTCTGATGTTACGTTACAGAGCTATAATTGCAGGTCCTTTTCAGACCAACTCAACCTACAGAAAGACTTTAGCTTGAGACAATTTTCATATATGAAAATGTCCTTTTAACGCTTATATATGATACATCATGAGTGACTAGGTCGAATCACAATCCGCATACACACATAGGGAGACATTAGCCAGGTGGCAAAGGACTAGAAGTTAGCACCCGATAAGGCAGCTCCTGCGAATTCCTCAAAATTGATTAATGTATATTTGCTACATGTTATTGTAGTGATTGTATTAATTGTATATATAATTCTACTGTATATACTGTAAAGCGCTTTAGAGTGGCTTGTTTTTAGTGTGTGAAAGTGACGATTTGTTTCTAAAATATCAGTTTGAAGAGCGACCCTGGGGCGGGTCGTTTTTTTCGCGCACGTTGTAGAGGGCTGAAGTTCTGACGTTAATCGACGCCAAAAAAACAAGAGGCCCAATGGGCCTGCATCGCTCACCTGGTATTAATCTCACAATTGTAACCTTAAAAGAGGACTAAAATAAAGCTACATGCAAAATATCAGCGTCTTGACTTAAAGTTTAAAGTAATTCAGAAAAAATGGGCAAAGGTCATTCATTTGAACAAACTTGGTAGCCCTTCATCCCAGCATGTTACTGGCCAAGATCATCACCCTAGGCCTGTCGGTTATTCAGAAGTCGTTTAAAGGTTTTAAACATATTTGATCCCAGTGACCTTGAATACAAATCAAGGTTATTTATTTGAACAAACTTGGTAGCCCTTCATCCCAGCATGTTACTGGCCAAATATCATCACCCTAGGTCTGTCGGTTATTCAGAAGAAGTCGTTTAAAGGTTTTAAACATATTTGACCCCAGTGACCTTGAATATAAATCAAGGTCATTTATTTGAACAAACTTGGTAGCCTTTCATCCCAGCATTATACTGGCCAATTATCATCACCCTCGGCCTCTCGGTTATTCATCAGAAGTCGTTTAAATGTTTTAAACATATTTGACACCAGTGACCTTGAATATAAATCAAGGTCATCTTTTGAACAAACTTGGTAGCCCTTCATCCCAGCATGTTACTGGTCAAATATCATCACCCCAGGCCTCTTAGTTATTCAGAAGAAGTTGTTTAGAGATTTTAACATATTTGACCCCTGTGACCTTGAAAATGGTTGAAGGTCTTTGATTTGAACAAACTTGGTAGCCCTTCATCCCAGCATGCTTCTGGCCAAATATCGGTACCCTAGCCCTTTTGGTTACTGAGAAGAAGTTGTTTACAGTAAAAAGTTGACGCCGGATGGACGACGACGGACCTTCGGGCCAGGTGAGCTAAAAAAAGTTGATAAAACGTCAGAATAATTGGGACTACCAACAGAGAGGGGCGCGTTAAGGCTTCATCCAGAAGGATTACAGAACAAAGTAAGATCTAGAGGGATTCATGACAACCTGGACAACATCACAGTAGAGGCGCAAGGAATGTATAGGCATTTAAAACATCAATTCCTACCAACTGGGATTAAACAAAGCTATAAGTATCGCATGCGTTCTTAACCCCCTCCGCATTAAAGCCAGTTTGGTCTCTGTGGAGTATAACATATAGATAGATAGATATTAAACCCTATTATAATCGTTTTCAAAATAAAAATATTTTTTGACGATAACTGAAAGGGCATGTACGAATGTTGACAAATTTTCGTTTTTTTACAGCGAGCCGGTAAATACATTTTCGGTAAATAAGTCTATTCAATATATATGTAAACTAACGCTTATTCCTCCTCCCCGATCCCCCTTGAGACCAGCATTGAGTGTCTGAATGGACTCAAAATGTGAGAGCCGACACAGAGAAAACGATACTGAACTTAAGTATGGTTGAACATGTGTTGTGATTGCCATGGTGTGGTAATTCTGCTTTATACAGTCTCTCCTTACATTGAAATAGCATAGGACGTATAATTAAACCTCGCTGTTTTGTAAAGTCAGATATTACAAAATCTTACACAAAAGTGTGGTTCTCTTTCCCGCTCCGCCATATTGGATTACCTTCAATATTGAAGAGTTCCAAATTTAAAGATTTCTGATTATAGAAGGCCGTGACCTGTCATCACCCACTGTCTTGTGCTTCACTAGATAGGAAGCATCTGTACGCATGTAGTGTAGTGTAGACAAGATAATTACGTTAGTATACAGTGGGTGGTGGTGTGTGTAGCAAGTACGAGCCAGTGACACATGTGTTTTTACTCCAAAAGGAGGTTCTTTTACACAGGAGGAAACTAACCAGAACAAGATGGCACTGACTTGGATATCCCGGGAAGAAATTAAAAACGTTCTTACTTATGAACGTTTGATCCCTGAAATGGAAACAGCTCTTGCCCAGTTTTCCAATGGGTCCGTGGTTCAACCGGTCAGGACTATCGTACCTGTCAGCAAAGTCAATGGGTCAGTATTTTTTATGCGATATCGAAAGTAGAACTTGTAGACTTGCACAAGTTTCTGTTCAATGATAATCTTATATAGACCACAGGTATTTGTGTCACAAAAGCTGAAATGACTAAATAAACCCAAGCACATATATATAAATATGATAAAAGGATTTTTTAAAATTTTAGCTTTTGTGAATTTTATGACAGTAATTGGTCGAGTGGTTATACTTCGGCCTTCCACGCAGGCGACTGGGGGTTAATACCCGAAATCGTCGCTCGCATGGAATATCAGAGAAAATGTTTTTCTCCTGCTCACACTACTCCAACAAGCCAGGTTGAGTATAAAATGGTCTTGGTGGATGTTGCGGTATCTTTGATGTAGCATTCAAGTGAGGTGGCACTATAGAAAAGATGTCGTTGTAAGCACGGTCCCACTACAAACAGAACAAAATACATCTCCAGCATACACGCAGGCATACACACAAATGGAGATATTAGCCAGGTGGCATAGGACTAGTAGTTAGCGCCTGATAAGGCAGCTCCTGCGAATTCCTCAAAAATTGTATATCCTAATTGTATTAATTGTATATCTTATAATATGTACTGTAAAGCGGTCTAGAGTGGCTTATGTTAGCTAGATAGGGCGCTATATCAAATGTTGTGTATTATTATTATTATTAATTTTATTATTATTACAAATATTTGCATGCAATCCTTTAGATTTATGTTGTTTATTTCTACATTAACCTTTTTTGTTGGCTGTAATTCATAGTATCTCTAAACATCTACAGATTTAGAGCTTGAATTTATTACAAATATTGCTACATGAACATTTAAATGTCAAATAAATCTGCTTCATGCTGCTATTGAACATTAACTAATTTCATACAATCAATAAAAAATACATGAACTTGTAGTAAATGCATGATTTATTCATTTATAAGTACACTTTTTGTTCAAATCATTTTAGTAAAAAAAAAATTGTGTACTCAGAACAATTAGACTCAACACTTTTCAGAACAAGTTCTTTGTACATTTAAACCATTACGGTTTTATGTTTACTAGAAAATTTGTAATAGATCTGTTTGTTTGTTAAATTAAATTAAAATTCATTTAATATTGCAATAGGGATCCATAGTTATAGTGACTTTCTTTTTTTTTTTTTAATAAACAAGTGAACATTCTGTCAATTCATATCTATTACTCTTGTTGGCCCAGATGGTAGTGCACAGGGGGTCTTAATGTAGGAGGAAACTGGGTTACCCGTAGAAAATCTGTTATTCCAGGCAAATGACCCCATATAACTTCACCTCTGATTAGGGATTCAAACCCCAGCTGTCTGTGTGAAAGGTAATTGCATAGTCTACTGCACCACCTTATGATGACCACTATTATTATTTAGACAAAGGTATGTAGGGAATTTACAATCATGGTAAAACCTTTCCCATTATGTACCTGCATGATTGTAAATAACACATTGAAGGAAATTATGATATTTCCCTGAACAGATCTTTCTTGTTGTTTCATATTCATGCATATCTACCAAGTCAGCTGCATTTCTGCAGGTCAATCTGCATATATTGACCTCCATGACCTGTGCAGATTGTAGTACATGCATATTTTTAATTCTCCAGCTGCAGCTGTGCTAATATATTCTGCCTTTGCACTGCTAATATCCCAACATTGAAAAATAATTAAAATCTGAATTTTAAAAGCTATAAATATTAAAATATGTCTTAGAAAATACATTCTGGTATATATTTCTTAGTTTAAAGTTTAATAGCATAAATGCCATTACTACTAATGTTGATGACAAAGTTTCCATTCTGAAATGACCTGCAGTTACTAGACTTGACCTGCATTCTGACCGTCCATGACCTTGAATTCATTGTTGATCAGAACTTGCCAGGTACATGTATGATCATGAATATATACATGAGAAAGAAGTCGTCATTATATGTAAGGCTACAATGATAAACAACCAGTGTACAATATTTATACATTGCCCTACATAACGTTACGTAAAGATACAGAGGATATTCTAGGTTTCATGTATGGTAATCCACATGTATATATATATTGTATGACACCAGGTGTTTATCATGTATCCCACAACATATTAATTAGTTCAAATTTTACCACAGTCTTTGTATCTACATATGATGTATTATTCATATGTTTTCAAAAAATGTGTGAGGAAGAATGATGTGGTAGAATCTATTTATTTCCTTGTGTTTTACAACAAATTAGAGAGAAGCTGGCATTAGTACATATAAATATAAATGTACAATATCTACAATATGTCATACAATTCAGCTAGACTATATTACTCTATAATTATACAATAACTAACATAGGGTTAGTAGTACAGAATTGAAAAAGGGGTTATTTGACAGCAGCCTGGAAGGAAGGGGGAATCAGGGAAACTGCATAACTGAGAGCACATCGTTACATAGCTTTAACAGTTTCATGTGCTAAAGGTTGGATATAAACTAACTATTGGTTTAAGAAGAAAACATTTTTTGTTTTGTTAATGGCATCATAACAGAAGATATAATAATGAGGTTTGTAGTGTAGATATGCCCCCCAGGACCCCTGCTGACACACGTCAATCCCCACCTCCCCAGCTTAGGCCATAGCATTTCAAAATGACATACATTATGCATAAATAGTTATGAAATGTTAAATGCAATGTTGATACATTGTCTTCTAATGAAATATAACCATCTTTTTAATATAAATTTTCTGTGTTTTGTCCAGATTCCTTGGAGTAATGCCTGCCTATAGTCAAGAGCAAGGTGCTTTGGCAACCAAACTAGTCACATTTTTTCCAAACAACAAAGATGTGCCTACCCACAATGCTATCATTGTCATGTTCAATCCAGACTCGGGTGTGCCTGAATTGGTTTGTTGTATTTTACAGCAGTCTGGAATTTGCAGTGCACTTTTAGTCTTGCTTACAATGAAGTGGGTAGCGTTTAAGTGACACATTTATAAGGTTTAAACTGTGATGGCAGCAGTAGTATAGCCAGGTTTGCTTTAATTGCCCTTGAACAAGACACTTTAATTTGCTAGTTCAGTCTACCCAGCTGCACAAAAGGGTAGGAGCATGTAGTCATGCTGTGAAATACTTACCTACATCCTTTCAAGTTAGGGAGAAAATCACTATTACTTCATGCCACATAAATCGAGGAAGCAATGGGTCATTGAGCTAGTTGGAAAACTCCTCTTTTTTCTTTGGTCTATCAGAATTATTTTTAAATGTTAGGACAAAATTAAGTGAATAAATTTATGGAATCAAAGTAAAATAAATAATCTTTTAAACTGTATGGTTTATGGGTTGTGGGATATCCAACTTGCATGCAATCCTGATTTTTATCTATCAAAAAAGTTTATTCTCAATACATTCTTTATACTTGCTGAAGCAATTGATGATATTTGAGAACGAAATTACTCCACAGATGAACCTGTTAATTATAATTAATCAATCATCAAAAAATGAATATCTTCTATGTTCAGACTTGATGGGGTGGAGATAGAATTACATAGGTATCATTGTTTCTAAAAAGGAGCTATATAGTCAGGGATATATATATTGGACTAGGTTCAGACTAGCCATAAAATGAACAAAACAAATCCCCATGATAACATAGACTCACAAGGTAAAAGTTATTAACATATATGTATTTTTTGTTACTATACAGTTAATGGACGGAGATGTGATCACAACAATGAGAACTGCTGCTGTATCTGCCGTGGCAACCAAGGTCAGTTAAACAAGTAACCATAGTTACCAAGGTCAGTTTTACACATAACCATAGTTACCAAGGTCAATTATACATGTAACCATAGTTACCAAGGTAAATTGTACATGTAACCATAGTTACCAAGGTCATAGTCCGAATTATTCTGACGTTTTAACGACTTTTTTCATATCGGTCTGTCGTTGATTAACGTCAGAACTCCGGCCCTCTATAATATGCGGGAAATATCGGCCCGCGCCCGGAGCGCACTTCAAACTGATATTTTAGACACAAATCATCACTTTCACACACATGTCGCACATGGATCGAAAGATCTATTCTTTATGCACTAGGTGGTATCAATAAGATGTTTCAAAGATCATGACGAAAAGCATTTTCCAAATTTTCTATACCAACCCATGTTTTTTATGGAAATTAGGCCATGAGAAATGTCACATGACTTGACGAGATCTCGCGTTACCGAAGGTATTTCCCAACGTTATGACATAGCCCGGCAAGATTTTAGTCACGTGGCATTGGAAGGCGGGGCTATCAAAAAACTAGAGTAAAACAGAGTAAGTTTGGAAAAATATGTTTTTAGTGATTGTATTAGTTGTTTGAGGCATGTTATGTATGTTCATTTTGTGCATAAAGAATAGATCTTTCGATCCATGTGCGACATGTGTGTGAAAGTGATGATTTGTTTCTAAAATATCAGTTTGAAGTGCGCTCCAGACGCGGGTCGCATATTTCCCGCATATTATAGAGGGCCGGAGTTCTGACGTTAATCGACGACAGACCGATATGAAAAAAGTCGATAAAACGTCAGTTTATACATAACTTCACACAATGAAAGAGTTAACCTGTTTATTACTTGAGTTAAGACAGAAATGAATGTGCAAGCAAAGAACAAGTACTAAAACCTACTGTAAACATTTGGCGTATCAGGGGCTACTCACTCTATAACCTACTAATAGTAACAAATTATTCTCAAAATATTTTAACGAAAGCTAGACTCTGCGAAGTCACAGAGAAGCTTGATAAAGATTTAACGGAAGCTAGACTCTGCGAAGTCACAGAGAAGCTTGATAAAGAGCGCGAGCTAGACTCCAAAGAAAACAAGAGAAGCAGCTAGACTCTGAAAGTACCAGAGAAGCGACTAGACTCCTAATATCCATGGAGAAGCTATAAAAGACTATGAATTGGAAACGCTAGACTCCGAAGAAGGCAAGAGAAGTCACTAGACTCTGGAGGCATCCAGAGAAGCGACTAGACTCATAGCCACCCCAGAGAATATATCTGTTAAATTTACCACGAGAAAACTGGCTACAGATAAAGTGAAGTAATAATCTATTTAAGAGATTGGGGGTAAAATTCCCCAAGAATTTAAAGCCAACATTCCCCAAGAATATAAAGCCTAAATATACACATAGTTGTTTATAAAGTCTCGATCAATAGAGTGAGTAACCCACCTAACATAACATATAACATACAACATGAAGCGGCAATAATTAAAAATAAAACTCACAGAAACCTCACAAAGGGGCAGCATGTAATAAATTGCCAAAAAAAACAACAACAATTACACAAAAAACTCATGACCATGAGGCAAATAATTAGAGGCGATGCAGGGGTTGGTGGGTGGGTAAGCCAAAAACGAACAAGTGTAATCTGCCAGCACTACGAGGAATGAAACTGAAGCTGGCAATACCAACACCCCTCCAAGACGTAATCGCTGATTGGTCAAAAGTTACTATGGACTAATTAACATATACTACGATACCTTATATGGTAAGACATCTCATTTGCATAGGTAAACACTATCGCTCTTCACAGAAGAACACATTCCATAATGCGGTAAAAGAAGGTATTACAAAAAAGAACATAAGGGAAAACCCTTTTATCTTAACACTTGATATTGCAAACATAACAACAAACTATCACATCTACAACAGCCAAGGCAATGGAAGGCTTACACAGTTATATATAAACTATAATTTATCATTACATATCAAATTATTCTAATAATTCGGACTACCAAGGTCAGTTATACATGTAACCATAGTTACCAAGGTAAATTGTACATGTAACCATAGTCACCAAGGTCAGTTATACATGTAACCATAGTTTCAAAGGTCAGTTATACATATAACCATAGTTACCAAGGTCAGTTATAAACAAAACCATAGTAACCAAGGTCAGTTATACACGTAACTGCTTTATCTACTTCGAGTGGAGACAGCCCCCTGAATTGTTACTTTGTTAATTTCATTTCTTTACTTTAGTTATTTTGTGGAGACGACCCCCAGGTGTTGGCCATTTTAGGATCTGGGGTCCAGGCACGCTCCCATTTCCACGCCCTCACGTCACTCTTCTCCTTCAAAAAGGTAATTGTCATTATAATGATTTATTATTGATCTATAACATAAAAATGGGAGTATACCTGAAACTGGGATCTACTAAGATAAAATTAACTTCTATTTTGTGTTCGCTGCAATGGTGCCAAAATGAAACACGGAAAACTTTGTTTCAGGAAATTTAAAGATCATAACAAATTTTAAACCCATAAGAATTAAAGCAAGGTCAAAGATGTCAAAGGTCAAGGTTAGAGAAGTAATTTAACAAGCTGCCTTCATAGAGCATCAGCATACATGTATGTAGAGAACACTGCATTATTTAGTCCATTACTGACTTAAAGGTAAAAATAGAATCAAGGTCACAGAGCTCAAGGTCGAAGGTGAAGGTCACAAATATGTTGAACATGGTAAATCATGCTGTATTGATTGTGAAGTTACATAACTCTTGCTTTAGTTTTTAGTCTATAACTGATATAAACACACAAAAAAACAAAAACAATCTGACTTATGTGTATATAGACAGGTAACACTTACTACATTGCAGCAGGGAATAAAAAGTGTGAAACGTAGAAGTGAATTAGTTTTTAAAAGTTGACACCAATTTTAAAATCTAAGCAGCGCTTTTACTATAATAACTTAAAATCATTACTAATGTTTCAGATAAATGTGTGGAGTAAAACTCTATCAAATGCACAGAAGCTGGCGGATGAGATCAACGGGACAGCTTACGACTCGGCAGAGATGGCAGTAAGGGATGCAGATGTTATCGTCACGGTGACTTCATCGTCAGTTCCAGTTCTAAAAAAAGATTGGGTCAAACCAGGTGCTCACATCAATGGTAAGGTATCTATATCTGTGGTTTGTGTTAGAGTTATCTCCCTTATAGGTCTTTATCAGCATTCCATCCATGCGTAAACTAGCTACAGATCTAGAGAGAGGTGCCGAGACGAGGTTGTCCTTACCCGTCTCCATATTGGTCTTTCATACATAATCCACTAGTCCTGTTATTTATTGAAACATGGAGACCAGCCTCAATGCATAAGATGCCAAGAACCATTTACAGTAAAACACTTGCTATTTGATTGCATCAACCTTCAACCGACTTGAGATTTTTTTTATTAAGGAAGTAAATGTCTTAAATCTCTTTGCTAAACAGTAATTGTCTCTACAATATTAAACTATCTGAAAGCTATTGTTATTTTTAAGAAAATAGCAGTCACCATAGTCACTTTTAATATTCAAGTTGACGTTTGTCTTTTACCTTGACGTTTGTTTGATGTCATTTTTATTTTGCCGTTGTTTTTGTTGACTGTTCTCGGCCCTAACGACCTCTCCTGTGTTGATGAGCCGTTAAGCATGTAATAACAATAACGACATTTACTTTGGTGGCTCAGTCAGTTAGAGCAATAGTTAGCAATCTGAAGTTGAGACTGGAATCCCGGTCAGGTCACGCTGAGTTTTCAAACATCAGCACAGTTGTTGTTGTTGTTGTTGTTGTTGTTTATATTTTTTACGTTTTATCTTTACTATCTTTTTCATAAAGTTCCCGCAAGGCATCGTTTTCCTGTAAGAAATGATTTACCAATGCATTAGTCATGCCTTAGTTACAGTATTTTGGTACAGGGATACTTAAACTGTGATAATAGTAATATGTAGATATGTACACGGAACTTATGTGTGATGATTTGACTAACGTGAATTTTTCCAAATTTACTGAAGAAGAAAAGTACAAGGGAGACAATATATATGTGTTTCTAAATTCAGTGCTTTATTAGCCAATCAAATTTGATAATTTAACTATTTCAGCTGTGGGAGCATGTCGGCCAGACTGGCAGGAGATCGACCCTGCCCTCATGACCTCAGCAGTGGTGTTTGTGGACAGTCGCACGGCAGCTTGTCAGGAGAGTGGAGATGTGATATTGTCTGGGGTACGTGGGGTATTCCTCACCTGGTGATAGCAATCATTTTAGACAATAGTTGTCACTCTTTCATGAACCCTGTGCAAGTTTGAGTAAAGAATAGACCCGCTGTATCCCGATGCATGTTGTAAGATTAGAGAAATCCAATGTTGGCCCCTTGCAAAATCTTGGAGGTTTTCTTAAGTGTCTTCTTCTAAGAGGACATTGAAGAGACTGAAATTGATCTGCTGCCCCCTTCTATCCCTTGGGATCCGTCTTTTCTTTTTCTCTCTTACCCACACTTTTAGGCGGTGTCTCCCTAGGCGACCATTTTCATGTGACCTTGGCTGTTGCGAGGGCGTTAAACAAAAAACAAACAAATTGCTCTTTGAATAGACATTCTATTCTAGATACAATTTTGTATGTATCTAGGGGGAATCTAGATACAATTTATTGTTGGTATTTTGTATGTTTGTAGGCAGAAGTGTATGCTGAACTAGGGGAAGTTATAAACAATGTGAAGGACAAACCAAAAGGGGAGACAACTTTGTTTAAATCACTAGGTAGGTAACAGCTGCTAAAAATAAACCCTACCTGCCAATCAGTCATGTGTCCAGATTTTAGTGGAACTGTCATGCTTTTTGATCTTCAAGAAAAGTGACCCAGTGGGACATTTATTTTCATGTATTAAAAATTTGTCCGAATAAATCCAGATTTTTTTGCCGCATCATAGTTTCTTTATTAAATCACTTCAAAGATTTTCGGGAGGTGTTTGAATATTTTTAGTTAAATTGTAGCAATAATGTGATGACAGCTTAGATGTTGTCTACATAGCATGAAAACAGCATAAGTAACTGATACACCTTAAATCAATTTGTTATGCAATCTGGTGTTTGCATTTTTAGCTCACCTGGCACGAAGTGCCAAGTGAGCTTATGCCGTGGCGCAGCGTCCGTCATCCGTCCGTCCGGCGTCAATATTTTACTTTTAACAACTTCTTCTTAATAACCGAAAGGCCTAGGGTGTCGATATTTGGCCAGAAGCAAACTGGGATGAAGGGCTACAAAGTTTGTTAAAATTAATGACCTTCACCCATTCTCAAGGTCACAGGGGTCAAATATGTTAAAAATTTTAAACAACTTCTTCTCAATAACCAAAATGCCCAAGGTAATGATATTTTGCAAGTAGCATGCTGAGATAAAGGGCTACAAAGTTTGTTCAAATAGATGACCTTCACCCATATTCAAGGTCACAGGGGTCAAATATGTAAAAAACTTTAAACAACTTCTTCTGAATAACCAAAATGCCCAGGGTGATGATATTTGGCCAGTAGCATGCACGGGTAAAGGGCTATCAAGTTTGTTCAAATGAATGACCTTCACTTATATTCAAGGTCACATGTGTCAAATATGTTAAAAACATTAAACAACCTCTTCTGAATACTATGTTTGTTAAAGTGAATGACTTTGACTTATATTCAAGGTCACAGGGGTCAAATTTGTTTAAAATCTTTAAACGACCTCTTCTGAATAACCATGGGTCCCAGGATGTTGATACTTTGCAAGTTGCATCCTGAGATGAAAGGCTATAAAATTTGTTCAACATAATGACTTTGTTCGACTTTCAATCACAGAGGTGAAATGTTTTAAACAAAATTAACAGGTTCTTTTGAATGAATTTTAATCATAAATACTGATATTTTGCCTGTAGATTTATTTTAGATCACTTTTAAGGTTACAAGTGTATGATTTATACCAGGTGAGCGATGCAGACCCATTGGGCCCTTTGTTTTATTTTCAGGGCTGATAATAATCTCGTCATTATGCATATATGCTAGATGGTGACAAAATTAGTCAGGTCAGAAATAATGCTACAGGGAATCAGGCACTCATCACAACCTCTTACTCTACGACTAATGTGCTGCTACCCTGGCTGGTACAAGTCTTCAAAATGTTTAATTATGTTTCTTCTTTCCTAGGACTGGCAGTGGAAGACGTGTTGTCTGCAAAATTGGTACGAGACTTGATATCAGGCTGATTAAACTCGTTGTCAAATAGAAAAAAACCCGGACAAGAGCCTATATCGTATATTTCTGGACAAACTTGAACCGACATAACAGACTGGTGTCCATTTCTGTAAGGGAACTGTGATTTGTAAATGATGGACACTTACTATAGACAATTGATATTTACTATAAACAGTGGATATTTACAGAGATGCTCGTCAATTCGTATAAAGGTCGAGTTAAAAGTTCATCAGAGCCACAAAAAGCAGGAACAGAAAATGATGATTCTGCTGAAGCTGGTGGCCCCTAAATTACCTCAATTAAGCCAGTTGGCTAGAGTAAGAGCCATACCGAAGGGTATTTTTAACATGAGCTGCGGGAGACCAGCGTTACAACAAAACTCGGGTCAAATTTTTTTACTTTATTTTTCTTCTTTTTTTACTGCATTATCCAAATTGGAAACCGCTCAGGAACCTCCATTTAAAAAATATCAGCAACCTCAAAAGATACAGAGGGTTATATTAATGAATATTAAATCTTTAACATTGATGTACTTAAGTGGTTTTGATGTACCCTGACGGATATGAGGGGCTTAGGAAACCTTGATGTTCTCAAGCACATGTAGGTCACATCCTTATATCTGTCTTTGGATCTGCCACAGTTGTGGGTTAAGTTGTTGTGGCATTCACCATTTTATACAGCTATAATTTTCAATTATATTTTTTATTTATCAACATTCTTTGTAAATTAACTGGTTTCAAACTATTTATATGTATGTTTTGTTAATTCACTTGAATTTTTAACACAATTGAGTAAGAAGGCACGTCTAACACTCATCATCACAGTACTTTGTCAGTTTTGTTGTACAAATGATGTATTTTGTGTTTGGAGATTTATTTTAGTCTATGTGTTTGGACAAATATTTTTATTATTAATACATTATTCAACTTGCAACATTTTTTTTGTTTCATACGTAAATAAAACATAAGAAGAAAAAAATTCCCTGTGTTGGCAATTCAGTGCTTTAAATAAATGCAGTTTAAAACACTTTTCTTGTCCCATTTTATTTTCACAGCATTTCATTTTAAGGTTGTGGGTAATTTACAAGCTCACCTGGTGCCAGTTGAGCTTATGGTATGGTGTGTTGTCCGTCGTCCATCATCAGTCAACTTCTTCTTTGAAAGACTTCATTTCAAATAGGAATCTGGGACAAAGTACTATTATGTTTCTTCCAATATAATCTTAGCCTACCCTTTCAAGGTCACAGGGGTCAACTATGTAAAAACATTTTAACAACTTCTTCTGAATAACCAGGAGGCCCAGAGTGATGATACTTGGCCAGTAGGTACCTGGTATGAAGTGCTTTAAACTTTTTCAAATAAATTACCTTGACTTACTTTCAAGGTCACATGGGTCGAATACATGAACATATTTTAACAACTTCTTCTAAACAACCAGGAGGCTCAGAGTGATGTAATTTGGCCAGTAGGTACCTGGGATAGAGTGTATCAAGTCTCCACACAAATAATTGACCTTGACATACTTTCAAGGTCACATGAATCAAATACATAAAAAAAACTTTAAATAAGTTCTTCTGAATAACCAGGAAGCCCAGAGCAATGTGGTTGGCCAGTAGGTACCTGACAAGGAGTTCTATAAAGTTTCCGAAGATAAATGACCTTGATCTGATCTACTTCCAATGTCAAACGGGTCAAACATGTAAAAAAAACTTTAAAAACATTCTGCGTTACAGGGAGGTACCTTGGTGAGGATATATGACCTGTAGCATCCTGGGATAGAATAGTATCAAGTTCCATTTAGTGTAGAATGTTCTTAGGCCATGGATACTTAATACATGGAAATATTTGCAAAATTACTTTTATTGAGAACATTGTCCCATGATTGCTCAAACATCAAAGCGGATAATACAGGCCCTCTGGGCATTTTCTTCTTAAAAAACTAAATTGGAAAAATGTAAAAATAACATTTATTGATAGAGTCATTTAATTGTGATGGACATAATATTTACAAGTCTAGATATTTGTACTCGCAATTGCCTCCCCTTGCCAATTAATGTGAACATATGAATCATGGGAAATATAAGTGGATTACAACATTTATATAAAATAGAACAAAGGATTCACAATGGTAACGATATAAAAACATAAAACATCTTTGTGATTTCTCACTGTCACACAACTTGCATATATATGTTAAATGACAGTGTCAGTGGTTATACCACTTGTAATGTCACTGTTTATATGACAGTGTCAGTGGTGGTACCACTTGTAATGTCACTTGGTATATGACAGTGTCAGTGTTTGTACGACTTGTAATGTCACTTGTTCTATGACAGTGTCAGAGGTTGTACCACTTGTAATGTCACATGTTATACGACAGTGTCAGTGGTTGTACGACTTGTAATGTCACTTGTTCTACGACAGTGTCAGTGGTTGTACGACTTGTAATGTCACTTGTTCTACGACAGTGTCAGTGGTTGTACCACTGGTAATGTCACTTGTTATATGACAGTGCCAGTGTTTGTACCACTTGTAATGTCACATGTTATACGACAGTGTCAGTGGTTGTACCACTTGGAATGTCACTTGTGATATGACAATGTCAGTGGTTGTACCACTTGGAATGTCACTTGTGATATGACAGTGTATGTGGTTGTACCGCTTGTAGTGTCACTTGTTATATGACATTGCCATTGTTTATACACTTTGTAATGTCACTTGTTATATGACAGTGTAAGTGGTTGTACCACTTGTAGTGGCACTTGTTATATGACAGTGCCAGTGTTTGTACCACTTGTAATGTCACATGTTCTATGACAGTGTCAGAGGTTGTACCACTTGTAATGTCCCTTGTTATATGACAGTGTCAGTGTTTGTACCCCTTGTAATGTCACTTGTTCTATGACAGTGTCAGTGTTTGTACGACTTGTAATGTCACTTGTTATATGACAGTGCCAGTGTTTGTACCACTTGTAATGTCACATGTTCTATGACAGTGTCAGTGTTTGTACCACTTGTAATGTCACTTGTTATATGATAACGTCGCAGGTTAATTGTGCTAAGAATGATTAAGTACAAAAGGTCCATGTCCAATATTTATGGTTAGAATAGGTATGGAACAGTCTATTTGAGTATACAAGGGAAGTCAGGTTATACACCATCAACAACAAGTCATTAGTACAATGACGCTGATTTCAGATTTCATTGCAGGTTTTTGAAATCAATTACCTTGTCCTTGAATAGTAAAAAAATACATATAACCGACATGATGTAAATGACAGTATTTGTAAACATCATTTCTAAACTGGAGTTGTAACTATTAACAAAACCTGTAAACAATAAACCTGTGACATGTTTACATTAATTCCTCAAACATAATATTGCCTGTCTGTATAAGTGTTGATCAAGTGTATAAGATCATAATATTAATGGTCAAAGTTTAATGTTAAAATTAAAGTTCTTTTTGTATTCATTTGGAATCATTTCTCTGTATCATCACTCCAGGTTTAGTTTAGTCACTCATCAGTCACTGTAATACTTGAGAAGTTTGAATCCAGGCTTTCCAGTTTCTAACGATAAGTATGCCAACACTCCAGTATCTAACACTAAGTATGACCACAACACATCATCCTTCTGTATACCTACTGATCTCTGTCGTCGTCCTTTGTTTGTATGAAGTGTTTTTATGTACTTTCCTGTTCCACTTATCAGTTCTAGTGTGTTCCTTTTCCAGTCAGCAATAACAATATTACCCTTACTGTCATATACAACTGTTGCTGGAACAAACTTGTCTGGTGTGACTGCCTTCTGTGCCTGTATCCCCTCTCCCTGGTAGTGGACAAGGGGTTGTAGTGTTGGGTTGTACACAATGATGTGACGCCTGTAGTTGTTTGGATCACTACTGTCTCCACTGATTAGTTTACCACTCACTAAAGCTATGTTTCCTGTAACACCACACTGTGTGATGGACCGTACCAACCCCTCCCCTGACCCCACCACAGTGTCTGTGTGTAACACCCGGCCGTCTGCTGTGTACATCACCACCCCGTACCTCTCTGTACCCCGTGTGCCCACCACTACCAGACCCTCCCTGGTCACAAACAGACTGTTTGGGTTCCCTTCAGTAGTAAACCTTGTGACTGGTGTAGATGTTGTAGATACTTCCCAGATAGTCCTCTCAACTCTACAACAGAACCACAGACGACCTGTGGTTGGGTCCAGACTGATGTCTCTGATGTCACTGGTGTGGTGTATCTTCTGTATGACTTGACCTTTGTTGTTGATGAGTTTTACTGTGTTGGTTTCGAAATCACACAGCCATGCACACCCATCAGGTGTAGAACAGATTGATGTGATACGATCTGGGTATGAGAACTTGGATATGACAATTGGACTGTCACAAAGTTTGTACAGGACTGATCCAGTGGAGGCTTGACCCGTCTCTGTAGATTTGGACTGTTTAGGTCTCACACCTGGACCATGTGTGGAGTGACCGCTAGGTGCTGATCCTGCCTGGAGATGGTCAGTAGGAGTCTTCATTTTACCCATGGCTTGCTCCAGGTGACTTTGTCTGTTGTTACCTGGAGTAAACTCTGTCATGTCTATGTTAGGTGTCTGTGGAATATCTAAGTCCATGTCCTGGACTTCTAATACCGAGTCATACATACGTACAGCAGTGCCTGTCTGGAGGGTCTGTTTACACTCTGATGAGAGTTTAACTAAATTGTCTAACCTGTCCTCCAGGTTTGTGATGTAAGTCTGAAGGAGGTCTGTGGACGCCTTCTCCATTTTGTCACATATTGCTAAGTGATCCTCCGTTATTTTGTCTAATGCTAGCTTACATTTGTCTCTCTGTTTTTTAATGTCTTCAGAAACTAGTTTGTATTTTGGGATACAGATGGAAAGTTCTTGTCTTGCTGATTTTATTTCTTCTTTAAATTTTGGAATCTTCATGCCATCAGTGTCATTAACAAAATCTTGTAATTCTTGTCTCTGTTCTTTTGCAATTTTTGCAATTTCAATGCAACTGTCTATGTGTTCTTTATGTGAAGTCATGATACAAGCAGAACATATTAATGTTTTACAGCCCTTACACAAAAATACAAGATTGTTTTCTCTATGGCTGGGACACTTATCATGGCCTCTCTGTCTGATGGGATATTGTCCCTGCAAAATGGATCGGCTGAAATTTGTCGCCATGGCTAAAAATGTGTAGTATAAAATAGCGCTGTAACTCAGGTCTAATAGGGGTAAGTCCTGTATATATTGTAATGCTGTAAATCAGGTCTGCTGTGGGTAACTCCTGTATATAGTCAGTCTGTAATTCAGGTCTACTTGGGGTAACTCCTGTATATAGTCAGTCTGTTATTCAGGTCTACTGAGGTAACTCCTGTATATAGTCAGTCTGTTATTCAGGTCCACTGAGGTAACTCCTGTATATAGTAAGGCTGTAACGCAAGTCTACTGAGGTAACTCCTGTATATAGTAAGGCTGTAACGCAAGTCTGCTGTGGGTAACTCCTGTATATAGTAAGGCTGTATCACATGTCTACTTGGGGTAACCCCTGTATAAAGCAAGGCGGTAACTCAGGTCTGCTGGAGGTAACTCCTTTATATAGTAAGACTGTAACTCAGGTCTGCTGGGGGTAACTCCTGTATATAGTGAGGCTGTAACTCAGGTCATCTGGGGGTTAGTCCTATATATAGTAAGGCTGTAACTCAGGTCATCTGGGGGTTAGTCCTATATATAGTAAGGCTGTAACTCAGGTCGGCTGAGGGTATCTCTGCGAGGATTTTCTAATTTTCTTGTGTATCTGAAACAAGGAAATTTATCAATTGAAAGAAAACTTTAAATAACGGTTCTGCCTACCTATGCATTTGAATTCTCAAATTTAACTGACATCAGTTCATATCTGAATGGGTCCACTCTATTTTGTACAAAAAGCAGCATCAAATTTTAGAATTATCAATATCATACAAAATTATATGTGTCTAAGACAAATACAAAGAAGACATAAAACAAATCATTGCTTTCATATTATGTATCATTAAAAGTTTGGATAAATCGCATCAAGCATGCGTTCTGCCTTCCATGCACTTAGTGTGAAGCTCAGTAAAATACTATAAATGCATTGGTTTTTTTTTTTACAGAAATCGTACCCCTGAAGCTGCACAAATGGCAGCTAAAAAGTGTGCCCGTGACATCGGTTAGTACCCTCTCAGTAATGAAAAAACAGAGTAACAAAACATACTACCCCCCTAATTTGATCAGTATATTGCAGAACTTTGCATATCTTTTGAGGTTTACATGTGGTCATGCAATAATATCTAATATATGTGTAAAAGGAGAAAGATAAATGTAACAGCCAGACCGGAATTCGAGCCAGGGACCTTCCCAACTCTAGACGGATGCTCTACCACTTGAGCCACCTGGTCGCCGACGATCGATCACGTTCAGTTCCACTACATTCCTTCCTCCTATTTCTAAGTCTTTGCCCCTGAAGACAACACTATTTGCAACCCAGGCTCAGATATCCCCCTGCTAACCTTTCACCCAGTGCTTGAAACAAGGTTTGGCAAGCTTGCCAATTTTGTAACAGGAGAAAGAGAAATGCAACGACTAGACTGGGATTTTGAATCCCGGACCTTTCGAACTCTAGACGGATGCTTTACCAATTGAGCTACCTAGTCCCCGACGATTGACCCAGTCCAGTTCCGCTACATATGAGACAGAAGAAATACTGGGGGGAAAGTTTAATGAATTGCTGGGTACGTAAAAACCTCTTTTCTCCTATCGGTATTCACTAGGGTCGGCCATTACCTGGGCTAAGCACTCTTTCCCCCTATCGGTATTCACTAGGGTCGGCCATTACCTGGGCTAAGCACTCTTTCCCCCTATAGGTATTCACTAGGGTCGGCCATTACCTGGGCTAAGCACTCTTTCCCCCTATAGGTATTCACTAGGGTCGGCCATTACCTGGGCTAAGCACTCTTTCCCCCTATAGGTATTCAC